GTCGACCAGTATGACACACACACCAGAGGAAGAGGGAGAGGGTAACGCGCAGCTACCGGCGTCCACCTACAATCAGGCTATTGTTAGCCGCAGTCATTATCAGCTGTGTAACAGGCAGAGAGGGAGACACTCACCACAGCAGGCCATTTAGGTGACACACACACTAGCCTGGGAAGCACCAAGTCAGCCACTCTGCAACACAACACAAAATCATTAGCTCCCTGCCACATGAGCCGAAAGCAGCAGGTGAGCAGACAAGCCGCGTTACCTGTCCGAAGCAAAACGTCCGGCTCGGAAATGACGTCACCCGTCGGAAGCAGCGAGAGAGAGAGAACTGGCAGGGGGGGGGATCGCCCCTTTTATAGGTGGGTGCGCCTCCGGTGGTTGGCTGTGCCATTGCCAGTTAGGTATGGCAACCCACAGGTCTCTATACTGCCACATGATGAAGATGATTTTTTCTCCAGACCAGTCTCCAGAAGGCTGCAAAGTCCAGCTGAACTTGATGGTTATCTTGCTTGTGCCACAGACACCATGGAGCTGCTGCACTCCTTCTCAGCCATTAAGAAGCTCTCTCTCAAGCTGAACACAGCTCTGCCTGCCTCTGCTGCATGTGAACGACTTTTTAGCTGTGTTGGTCTACTCTTCACAGCCAAACGAAGCCGGATAGACTCTGTTAACTTAGAAAACCAGCTCCTACTGAAACTGAACAAAAGGTTCAGAAAGTGAAGTGTGACAGAAATGCTGGTATGTCTAAGAGTTTAAGACACTTACCTGCCAGCTGTTCGCAGTGTATTAGGAAAAGTTTAAACTGTTCTATGCAGGTTCAAAAACATTTTGTCATTCTTTTAACAAACAAAATTCCTGCTTTCTATCTACATTTGTTTACAAAACAGATTGCCTTAGTGTCATTTTTCTATACATTGTTCGTCTGAGAAATGTGCTTTGAACATAGATATTTTATACAGGTGAATCGAATCAAATGCCTGCTATTGACAACGCAATAAAACATTGGTTAAAAGTAATTAATACTCTGAGTAGTTTTTGAGAAGAGTACTTTGTACTTTTACTTAAAGAAGCAACAGACAGCATTTTTGCCTATATATATCATTATGAAAATAATGTGGGTTGCACAGGGTAGTATACACAGTAAAATCAGACTATCAGCGTTTACATAGGTTACTTAATGGCTTTGCAATCTTTGCAATAAGCTTCTACAACCGGAGACGAATTTTAGAGGAAAAAATCTGCTTTACGGCAGGAAATGCGTCATGTATTGCCAAACTGGTCAGTCAGCCAATCAGGGACTGGAGCTGATCCTTATGAGGAACTGGCCGGGGGATGAGATAGTTGAGTCAGGAGCACAATGGCAGACGGACAAAGTCTGGAGACAAGTGAAAAATGGCCTAGCAAAAGAAAAGGAGCTCCTCTGTCTGAGGAGGCAAAGAAGAGCAAAAAGGAGAGTGATAAAAGAAGAGGAAAAACAAGAGTAAACCTCAGTCAGGCATTCAAATAATGGAGGGAGCTCCGTGACCAAAGAGGCTTCAACACCGGTGTCCAGCTAGCTTTCTTTCTAATGAATCAGTAAGTAACACGGCTAAATGTTAGCTAGCCGAGAGAGGACTGTACTGTACTGGCTGCTAGTTCATTCCTAGCTGGCCAGCATCGCAAATTGCCGCAACCAAGGACCAGGTAGTGAGTGTTGGTCAGCTGACATCCTCGTTGCCATTCTACGGCAGCCCTCAGACAGTGATTACCCCCACCCCCCTCGCCGCTGCCACCACAGCTACTGGGCACCCAGCATCTCCGACCGGGAGAAGTGAAGTAAAATCCTCTCCTCCGCTCCCGTTTGTCTGGTGAACGCCTCTCCTCTGTCAATACACTCTGCCAGCAGTTTAATAATATTGATGCCAGTTGTAACATTTAAATCTTTTAGTAGTAAGCCATGTTCTTAGCGGGATAATGTATAGTGAGCCGGTGACAGTTGAAAAATAACTCTGCTGCTGCGCGTCGGGGTTCCATTCCCCTGTCAGGAGTTATTTTTCAACAGTTACCGGCTCACTATACATTATCCCTTACGTGTCTACTGTTGTTTATACTGATACAGTTAATATTGGTATAATTTACTGAGTTGTTTGTACTGGTACTGTGCATTCTGGTATAATTATTTGCATTACTATTTGTTGTTTTTTTTTTAAATAAATCTGATAATTGTTGCTCGGTCTCTTTACTCATTTATTTAGTATAGTGTCCACACACCTTCTCATTCTACATATACATAGAGGTATATCGGTGGCTTTACAGCCTACATTTTATTGATTATCTCTGATCCCCACAGGCAATTTGGTCTTTGTGACAGTAGGAGCAACACTGCTGATGCTAGGTGGCGCCAAGCTAAAAAAAAAAACCTTGAATCCTATCTGTTGCCTCTTTAAGTATTTTTTAAACACCAGGGGCCTCATTCATAAAGCTTTCTTATGCACAAAACGGGGCTTGAAAGTGGCGTACGCCACTTCCCACGCAAAGGTTGTGATTTATAAAAATAAACTTGGGGGGAGAATGTTCTTACCTGTAAGCAAACTCTGAGTCATGCGTGTGCACACTTTGGAGACACTGGGTAGTGGCGACGCAGACGGCGAGGTGGAGAAGTGCAGTCAGATTTTTATTGATGTCTCACACAAATTTAATGTCATGCTATATCCACCTTAGATCCACATTATCATTGAAATTAAATCCAGCAGCCTTATTGTGCGCTTGGAGTGAGTGATAATTGTTTCATAAAATCATTGTAAAATCCAACTGAAATCCTGAATTGAAGTTCTTTCTAAATACGTATTTAATCCGCACTGCCTCTAACGTCTCATTGTCCACTCTGTGAGCGCAGGAGGGGGAGAGGATGGCGCGACTGCATGGAATATATTTATTTATTTAGCTAAATATTTCCAGTGCATTTATCATGTCTTGAAATACAGCCATTAAGCACAACCGTTACACTAATTTCATCAGCCCGAATTTGCTGTTCATGACAAAACCGGCACGAAGAAACGTGTTCGCCTATTACACTTTAATTTTTGAATTGTATTTCAAATTACACGTTGTATTTTGGGACAGGGATACCACTGGTTCATGCTGTAATTCAGGCCGGGAGTCTGATCAGACTAATTGCCATAAACATATAAATACTGTGTGATTCTTTATGTTGCACATCAATGTGAAACATCCTCAAATTTAAAAGCAACACATTAACTACATGTTGGTAAAGGAGTAGAAATATTTGGTGTACCTTTAGATCAGACCACTTTTTTTTTTTCCTCTGTCACTGTCCGTGCAGTCCCACAGACACAGCTGACAGCATCAGCAGCGTTGATGTGTTGCCACTTTTTTTGCTTTCTTTTATTAGTGATCCCGCTGCTGTGACCACCAAATAAAATCTTTCTTCAGTCCTCCACCTCCCGTTAAAGGGTCTCAAGCTCAGTCTCAGAGAAATTCCGTTGTTTGGTTCATTTCTCACACCTGTCGCCGTGACTCACAGTGAGAGAACACTTGCATGCCGGCTTATGTATATGCAGATCGCATTCATGAGGTGATTTGCATGACCATTTATGGTTGAACTAGGGCATGTATAGGGCGGAATATAAGGCAGATCTGGGTGCGAACGGTTTTATAAATCAGTTTATTTTTTGGCGCACGCCATTTTCAGCTTTTGGCTGCACGTCAACTTTTAGTATGAATCCTAAGCACTCTTTTATAAATGAGGCCCCAGTACTTTTACTTGTAATTGAGTACAATTTAAGCAATGTAACAGTACTTGTCCTTGAGTACAAATTTTCAGTACTCTTTCCACCTCTGGTTTCTACCCATGCCTACCACACATTTGAACCATCACCTCACAGTTATCTGGCCCCATCCCCACCATCGTTGCCACCGTGTACCACCCCCCTAAACCAAATAAGGAGTTTTTAAATGACTTTGCTCAATTACTGACACATCTTTCAACACTCTCTCCAAACATATTATATTAAGATGACAGTTGCTGAATATATACTCCCTATCTGATGCTGTGGCTATTTGTCGTTGGCTGAGAGGGATGTGAACTCATTACTTTTGTTAATCAAATCAGGTTGGGTTTCCATTACGCGTGCCAAACGTGCCAAACGGTGCCAATCCCCTTTGATCTGACATCACATGTGACGGAACAGTTGATATAGACATACATTTATGTGCTGATTGCAGATAGTTGCATTGAATAGTGTTTTTTTGGGTATTTATTGCATCATTAATGTGCCTGATATTCTGGAAACCTGTCTGTGAGGTTTTGGTGACATGTGCGCACTGTCCACCGGTCAGCCAAACTTAGGCTTACACTGGCTGCACTCCCCCTGCGCTGACAGTAGACGTGGTTCTAGGAGCGAGCTTTAAGCGCACCTTCGGCGAAGCCTTTTGGCATGAAACTGTCACTGCGCCAAGCTGGATCTGTCGACACCTCCCCCTACTGCGCCGCCACACCCATCTCAGCGCATCTCGGTCTGCCAAACTACCAAACTGAGTGCGCCTCGGGTTGCGCTGCTCAAAACTGACTCTGCGTGGGGTTCGCCACCCTGCGCTGTGCCGGGAAACTAGAGCCCATAGAGACAGACAATCATTCACACTCACATTCACACCTACAGACAATTTAGAGTCACCAATTAACCTATCCCCAACCTGCATGTCTTTGGACTGTGGGAGGAAGCCGGAGTACCTGGATAAAACCCACGCTGACACGGGGAGAACATGCGAACTCCACACAGAAGGGCTCCCTCCTGGGATCGAACCAGAAACCCACCTGTATCTTGAGATGTCCAACTTTATTTCCTTGGGATATTGTAATTAATTTGGTGATAGAGATTGGTTGCAGTGTCTGCCTCTTGTTAACTGGTCAGTCATATTATATCAACTGCTGTAAGTCTAAACTCTGGCAACACTGTCGGGTTTACTCTCGTCTCTCTGAAGGCCCTGAAGGCAGCAACAGAGGTACACAAACCATTAAACACAGATAATGGCAATCTGGGGATTGTGGTATAAAAATAGAAACTGTTGCTGCACACGGATTCTCAACACCAGACAGTAGCCTCATAACCTGACATCATCAAAAGAGCAGGATCCTGCTGCTATTGCTATCCTGCAGCTTGGCTGTCATCCTCCTTTCTCCCACCACCTGCACAGAGTCCATTCAAATAAACACAAGAAGTTTGTGCTCTAATAAAAAAAAAAAANAGTTCATTCCTAGCTGGCCAGCATCGCAAATTGCCGCAACCAAGGACCAGGTAGTGAGTGTTGGTCAGCTGACATCCTCGTTGCCATTCTACGGCAGCCCTCAGACAGTGATTACCCCCACCCCCCTCGCCGCTGCCACCACAGCTACTGGGCACCCAGCATCTCCGACCGGGAGAAGTGAAGTAAAATCCTCTCCTCCGCTCCCGTTTGTCTGGTGAACGCCTCTCCTCTGTCAATACACTCTGCCAGCAGTTTAATAATATTGATGCCAGTTGTAACATTTAAATCTTTTAGTAGTAAGCCATGTTCTTAGCGGGATAATGTATAGTGAGCCGGTGACAGTTGAAAAATAACTCTGCTGCTG